AGTTTTGTTTCATTGTGATTCGTCAACACATGCTCATGATCTAGTCGGAATCGTACAATCGACTGTGTTTTGACGGAGATTTCTTATGAAAATGAAAAGGGTTTTGTTGCTTTTATTATTATGGGTCTGCAGACTCAAGTCGTAGAAATATTAGAATAACATTTTTTTTAAATAGAGAAGATTCTTTTTCCGACACGGAGAAAAAACGTAGAAGAAGGTTTAAATTGGAAGAGAAGTAACCCTTTTATTATTTCAACACTTTTAACGATAGTTTCTTTTTCATTTTGACCACCGATCCAACGCTTTTGGAACAAATAATCCAGTTGTTAGAAAAAGACCCTAGTGTTAGGGTTCAACCATTCAGATTTAATGTTCAGCTTTGCCTACTATTTAAAAGAAAGAAACAGCAAGAATCACAAACCTATCCCATCCTCTAGGACGACGTCAATGGATACACGGCGGGTTTCAAAGTTATGGAACAGCACTCTGCTGTAATTTCCTTCTATCTGGTCGTACTCCTCATCACTCAGATTTGTAGTGTTGATGTAGGTTTGTTTTGTGACGTCGTCGTAGATCACATGTGGCGGTAGTTCTGTGTAATACGTTTCATTCTTGAATTCCCATCTGTACCTGAGTGTCATCCCCGGGTCTGTGGTTCCCCGCACAGTGAGGTTCACCAGATCACCTTTCTTGATGCCCTGCTTAAGTGGAGGCTGTGTAGTCACGCTGATAGGCTCTAAAACATAATATATATTTTCCTTAAATTAAATCATCGCTTTACGAATCAAATGAACTGATCATGTGTTGGGGACAGTATCACATTGCCCCTCACAGAGAAAGATTTGCATATAAACCGTTATGTAGGACAGTGCTTAATCAAAGAAATCTTAATTATTCCGCAATCATGGTATTTATTCTTTTGCAATTGCTATAAATATAAACTCTTGTATCACCATCGGTGGTGATTTGATAATAAAGAATAGAACTGAATTGACTTACCTATGACATTGAGACAACCGTTTGCGAACTCGGAGCCCATCGAGTTGGCTACCCGACATTGAATGCACATAATGTCATCTGGCTTGGTTAGGTTTGTCACGGTGAGAACACGACCACGTTCGCTGAATTGGATCTTTCCGTTACCTGCGGAAAATGCAAAAATGTGTTTACTCAGCACTATACATGGACGAAGACTTTTCATATCCTTCATCTCAGTATTTCATTCTTTACTTTCATACTTTACATTGTCGTAAGTTTTGATACTGTCTGAATGCAAAAATAGGATCTCGTTCTATTGCAGAAAAATATATTATTTCAACATACTAGCATGATGTCACTCATCACCCATTTCACGTATGAATATTCTGCATGCATGCATACATATTTTTCATACGTATGTACTATCAACAACTATCAGCATTACGTAAAAAAGGGTGTCGTGGCCAAAAACTGCAATGACCTTACCCAATAATCTATATTTCGGAGTGTTAATGTTTCGCTTAGTACTTCCTAATTTTTAAAGTACAAGCTCGAACTCTGGAAGTGAAATACTCTTATGTGTGATAATCCAACAATAGAAAATAATCCGGACCTGGAGGATTGTTCATGTTGATCTCCACCCCATTCTTGTACCACACAGGGGCACTCGGCTCATTCTCCGCACGAGCCGAACGAGCCTTGCAGGTGAAGGTGGCATCTCGACCTTCGGGGATAGTCTGGTTGTTAATGCCCTGTACCCAGATAGGACCAGCTGCAACATGGTATATGATTATTGAATCTACAGCGCCCACCTCCACCTCAATCACCAATTACCCACAATCATGCCAGAATACATACACAGGAACGTCACCAACAACATCACCACCAACATCACTACCAACATCCCCTCAAACATCTTCTCCCACCACCAACATCTCCCCTAGCACCGTCACCAACACCTTCCCCCAACAGTCGCCCACTCTCCCTCCCTCCCTCCCCTGCATGAACATCCCCACTATCACTGCCACTAACAGCCTCTAAACCCCGCCATCATGGAACATCCTTCACAGATCTATAAGATCAATGTTGCAACAAACATCAGCATCCTACCCACAGCCACTAACCCCCCATCCTGGAACATCCTACATATATCGACCAGATAACTCCTGCAACAAACATCAGCATCCCACCCACAGCCACTAACCCCCCATCATGGAACATCCTACATATATCGATCACATAACTCCTGCAACACGCATCAGCATCCCACCAACAGCCACTAACCCCCCCATCCTGGAACATCCTACACAGATCTATCACACCTCTGCTGCATCAAATATCAACATCTCATCCACACGTACTAAACCCCACCATCCTGGAACATACTACACAGATCTTTTACACCACTGCTGCAGCCAGCATCAATACTCCATCCACAAGCAATATACTACCCAACTACCCCGAAACACACTACGATGACAATAAAGGCTACCAACACATGTTGTGTTGTGGAATAGCTCATGGCAACCTACATGTTACGTTCAGGAAGATGATGTCGTTGTCAGAAGTAGAGCTGTTCCCCTCGCATCTATAAATGCCTCCATCATCATCTGTTAGGTTAACAATCTGCAGTTTCATGTTGTTCTTGTCAAGTTTGTACTTCTTGTTGGTCGTGATGGGCCCTCTCCGCAGGTCATACCAATGGACAGACGGGATAGGGCTTCAGATACAGAAAATTGGCATAAAATACATTACACTTCTTCGTAAAATCACAGCCTGCAACACAGCTCTATTTCAGATCATAATTAGCACATGAACGACACAATCTTGTACAAATACATCAATGATGAAAGCAACTATGATGCATTTATCCCTATTCCTATTTCCTATTATCCCGATTTCGATGTCCACGTTATTGATGTTGCTTTACTTTTCATTTATATTATTATTATATAACATATTATTAGGTTAAACTAACTATTATCATGTAAATTTTATGATAAATGACAGATTTAAAAGATAAATAAAATGATAAAATGGAATCTATGGCTGTACAATTTGTACTTGATTGATGCAAGTGTCTCAAGTTTCCTGATGGCAATCTTATTTCTTTGGATTTCTATGGTTTCTCGAAAGTTTTATTAATCCTATCGTAATTCCTGATTTGGTGTGCTTCAAGAGCCTGTTCCACTCACTCTATGTTAATGTATGGAAACTACACCAGTCCTACAGAATGTTATGGAACTGTTGACACTTACTGTCCACTGAAAACACACTCCAGTTCTGCTTTTTGGCCTATGAGGAACTGGGGATCGGCGGTCTTAAACACATTTCTCGGAGGCACTTGGGGTTTAACTGAAATTATAAACCAAGATGGTTCAGAAACAGGTCATAAAGAAACAGATCCTCAAGAAGGGGAGCACAAAATGTGTGTTACCCCAAAGTTTACATAAACGTTATTAATGAGGAAGTCCAGCATTTCACATATTGTTTTGTCAGTCAACTAAATTTGCCTTCATTTCTAACAAATTGACCCGAACCTCTGAAGATATAGATGTAACTGTATCTATGATCAATACGTTTCGAACAAATGCCCCATGGGTCAGCGAATGAAGTATGTCATGTGGTATAGTGGTGTACAAAATTGAATAATCAAATGTTTTAACAGAATTGAATATGGTTCCTTTCTGCGATTTTAATAAGTCAAGCAAATTGTTTTAATTTTTGAGAATCCACATGGTATTAATTTCACTTGTCGAAAACCTTTCTGTGTACATAAAGAAAGTTCTTCCTTGATTTTGGTAAATCATTGAGACAAGGATTTGGTGTTACATCTGCTGGAGATAGCAATATATCTCTCTTTGTACGGAGTTTTATGATCTTTGGAATCCAGTACAAAAGAGTCTTCAGGCATTAGAGTCAAACCAAAAGTTGATGGTACTGATGAATGGTTGTGGCAGATTACTCCCTCAGTTAGCATACTGGGCTTATATGTGGCATTATTTTATATGTCACTTATACCAAGTTCCTTGATCAAACAATAAATGTAGGGATGCTTACATACAATGGTTATGTTATCTGAGGCCTTGTCAGTGGGAACAACTACAACCTTTTATGTAGGGCAGACATACTTAGGATAACAGCTGCCTGGGACAGAATGGGTTTATTCCAATTCTGTTTCCTCTTTTTCAGTTTGTGCATTTTACCAATGACATCACGCGCTGATTGAAGCAACCCTGAAGACAATTCAACAGGTTCCTGTTCTCTTTTGTCCCATTTATCGGCATATTCTTCGACAACATCCATAATAAGTTGTGATCTCCATTTGTAGGAGGCTACTCGCGATATTTTTGGTCCATATTTGATATAACTGACGAAGGTTGCTATTGTCAACACAAGCGAAGCCACCTGTGATTATATTTCCAACAGGTTGATAGCAGTATTGTGAGTCTTGGCAGCCACAAGTTGTGGAATTAACATGAAGAGCTGCCAAGTCCACGTTCTGCAACACGTTTCTATAATTGCATATGAATGCGTTTATCATTCACTATCAAATGAAAGAGAGGCAAGCTGAGGGTATAGTAATCTACCAGTAGTTGGTACCACTTATAAATATATCAAAACTCCATGCTTTACTGCAATATATGTACCTTTGTTTGTAATAGAGCAGCTTTGTCTGATATGTTATCAAATGTATTGTGAAATCTTACTAAATCGTATAAAACTGTTACACTGAATGGGCTGATTCAAATAGGTTCGCATATTCTCACCTGTTTCTGGTTTAACTGTCAGCTTCTTTGGGCTGCCAAGTTGGATATTATCGGGATTGTCATTGTACATGGCGCACTTGTAAATATCAACATCAGTCTGGTCTTCCACTTCCAAGAAGACAAAATGCAGGGTTCCTTTGAATTAAAAATTTACGCTATTATTCATGCATATATATTGTAAATGATTAGGTGTGGAAGCTCTGAATTAGTGTGTCCTTAACGAAAGCTTTATAGAGCACACCGACCATAACATCCTGACATAATGCCTGTTGGTTATGATGGGGAGTCATGGTGGTTCTGTTAAAACATTGGGCTACAGCGGTTCTGCTTGCTCTACATGCTCTGCTGACTGTCTCCGTCACGAGGCTGTAATTTATCATTTAAGGGAGCTGAATGTCGTTTTAGTGATGATTTAAAACAACAGTTAGCTTCAAACTTAGGCGCTGCATTAAACAACTCCCCTCAGGTGGCGGTGGGGTAGCCTCGTTGTTAAAGCGTTCGCTCGTCACGCCGAAGGCACGGGTTCGATTCCCCGCATGGGTACATTGTGGGAAGCCCATTTCTGGTGTCCTCCGCCGTGATATATCTGGAATATTGCTAAAAGTGGCGTAAACCCATACTCACTCAATCCAAAGGCAGTATGTGTTACCACCTACGCCCAAAATAACGCAGAACGTAAGACCTTCTGTGATTACAAGGTTTTCTTACAACTCCCTGATGGTCACTTTTCGGGTGCTTGTGTATCGTCAGTATGTTGCATTATGTACCAATATATATGTCCTTTAGCTGTACCAGTATCAGCTGGTGGTGGTCCAGAGTTGGACCCATTGTGATCCTTGGTCGGTCTGCACTATGCACGTGCTTGTGGGTTTCATCAAAGTTGTACGAACAAAGTCCCATTGGGCCTTCTTCCCAAACAAACACAAACATATCCGAACTATTGCTGTAAACACACTACACCACACTACAAATAACCCCCAAGTCTACATGATAACAACAACATACATCAAGAATCAGCAAGATGCAGTGATACCTTTATCGTCAATATAGATTCTTTTGCTTTCTTTAACTTGTTCCTGGGTGCCATCTGTTCCTTGTCGGAACCACATGAAGCGTGCTGGAGGAACGCTCTCTGGAACATCCCCACACTCGAGGCTGGCATATTGCCCCTCCGACTTGATTATGGGTGTAGGTGGGGCGCCGCTGTCAGACCAACTTTCTAGAACTAGAAACAGCACCAGTATGGTGATGTCAAACACAGGCGATATTAAATGATGAGAAGGACCTTTATATCATTACTATAGGATTGTTTTGTGTATTGTTATTATTAAACAGATCTCCCAATTGTAATTGTGGACTATTCCAGTGTATTGAAAGGTGTAAACCCAAGAAGGTAGGGATACAGATGTTCAAGAGTCGAATATCAAAATATTTTCAAAAGTAATACAGCTTATATATCATATTGTGAATTCCAGAAAACACATAAATCATAAATAATATCTTCGGCTTTGAAGATATACCGTGGCTGCACTGATGTTTTAATGGGCATTGAAATATGTTTTCTAATGATGCTTTATAATTAAGTTGAAAGGGTAATAGCAGAGTGTAACATTGTTTCACCATAGATAGCCTTGAACATATACTGGTGGTATAAACAACTCTTTACAAAACCTGTGATGGGTGACTACACACCGACAGAATGAATACAGCCATAAGCAGTCACAGAAAATATACACGTGACTCTACACTGGCACAATAAACACATTCGTGGAAAGTGTTGGGCTTATGACTATGCACCGACAGACTTCACAGAACCATAAACATCCTTGGACATGTGACTTCACATTTGGACCAGTGAGGCTTCTCACTGTATTTGCAAACGCTTTGATTAAAAAACAGCATCAATAAAAGCCTAACTTCTCTCACGAAAGTTTCAACGATAAACCTGTTAACAGACAGGCATACTTAGACTGCATCCAACTGTTCCCACTATGAACTTGCTATTGATGCAGTTGATCGATGTGCTGCACTGAATTAACTTAAAGCTGAAACACAGTATTTTTTCAACCTGATAAGAGAAATTAGTCAGTAATTGTCAGTAAACAAACATTAAATTGTCCCACTATAATGTGGAGTTCCCCAGGGTTCTGCTTTTGGTCGCTATTTATTCTGTACAACAGTCAGTTCTAAAAAAACGGATAAATGAGTTTCCCCTGCCATACCTTTATAGCCCCATGAATCTCACAATAAATGCTATGATATTACATGATATTCCAAATCACTGGTATAAAGCCTTCAGTTCAGAAGGTTCAATAGGATGTTATAGTTTAGTTTTGGTACGTTCAAACATATCTAAAGTCGGAGGCATCAAAGTTGCAGGTAATGCACTACACAATCAAAGGGGAATAACTCACCGATTTGTGTTAGGGTTGTAACGGGTGACATGGCTAACGGGTTCACTTCCGAACCAACATTATTCTCCACTGCACACTGATACTCCCCCTGCTCTCTGTCTGTGAAGCTGGGTATAGTCAGGGTGCCGTTAGTGCTGTCTACTTTTATATACTCGTTTGTCGATCTAACCTCGTCTCCTTTGAAGTACCATTTGTATCTGTAAATAGACGGATTTAGAGGTCATATCGCAATACATTTTTGACAACCGTTGTTTCAATGCAAGATTATATAACGTAATAGCTCTCTTGTTATCTCTTACAAGCCATAGCCTGGGATAAGGGTTATTTTGCTCACGTGGGTCTGGGGTTTCCCTCTGCCGTGCAGGGGAGAACAACCTCCGATTCGTATTTGATGTAATCCTTCGTCTGGGCGTCCGGTTTAGTTATGTATGGTGGTATTCCTATGAAAATAGTAAATATAATAATGAAGAGAGGTAAAATAATAAACAGATGACCCTATACCTACACACGTGTCTGTCTACGCCAGTGTGTATAGTCACGTGTGTATGTATACACGTGTGTCTGACCCGTGAAGAGCCGGGGTAGAATAGGTCTTCAGCAACCCTTGCTTGCCGTAAAAGGCGACCATGCTTGTCGTAAGAGGCGACTAACGGGATCGGGTGGTCAGGCTCACTGACTTGGTTGATGCATGTCATTGTATCCCAATTGCGTGGATCAATGCTCATGCTATCAATCACTGCATTGTCTGGTCCGGACTCGATTATTTACAGACCGCCGCCAAATAGCTGGAATATGGCTGAGTACAGCGTTAAACAACAAACAAACAAACAACACCTGTGCCTGTTTACAACTGCGTGTCCGCCTTGACATGTGTGTCTGTCTACCTGTATGTCTGTCCACACTTTTTTGTCTGTTTTAGTTTTAGACTATATATCTTTCTACACCTACAGATATGTAGATGTAAACAGACAAACATGTGTAGACAGGCATACACTTATATACTGATGTTCAGGTGTAGACAGACATACAGGCGTAGACAAAGGTGAGAAGAATATCGAAATTTGACACACAAAATGTCTCTGTGTACAAGTATTTGCTAACGCCCGGTCACTCTCGTCCCTTCCAGCAGCTCTACGTTAATCAGACAGGTGGTGAGGTGGGCAAACACCCCCAGGACCATGTGGAGGGGGTTGCGGCCCTGCTTTGTCCGAAGTGTTTACTTCAGGGCCACATGGGTACATTCAGCAGTTTTTGTGTGACCTTCAAGTCACGACCTTCCCTCTCCCACAGCCTTGCGTGACACTGTACAATTCTGTACTAGAAAGTGTATATTTCAGATTCTAATCATTTTCATGACTTATTCTCATTACAATCCGCGGGGAACCGACTCCTTTTTTTTACCTTTTTTTATATCATTGTTTTTTGCTTTGTTGTTTTTATTTTGCGAGGTTTCTACCTCTTCCTTTAACCATTGCACAAGAAATGTGACTTTAAGATTGAGGTACGTGAGGCAGGGGCGGATCCAGGATTTTATAAATGGGGGGGGGAGGGGTTCCACTTGGGACATTTCTAACTTCAGGATGGGGGTTGTGGAGGTTCCATCCAAAAGCCTACACAAATAATCACAAATACTATATGTAACAACCAAATCAACATGTCATCATGGTAGGCAACGGGAATACAAAATGTCATCGGATGTTTAAAAAAGGGATCCGGATTCGCTATTGGGTGGGGGTGAGGAACTATTTCTGATTACATAAATAGGTATATGAGCAATGTTAACAGGAATGAACCCATGACGCTATACTTATCTACCACCTAACACTGCTATCGTTGATTCCGATATGTGGATACATTGCATTAATTACTGTGAAATTTATCTTACTCTGAGACGTAACTCTGGATATTGCGGCCAGCAAACAGACGAGGGTGAAGACGGGTGCCATTGTTACTCTTAGCCCCGCCAAGGGCAGTGTCCAACACAGGCAGTCTGTAAACAGTACATAGAAGTGAAACTTGAGTAACAAACATTATAAAAACATACATTATAGAATTCAAATTAAATTTAAATTTAGCAATTGTAATATTTAGATGTAGACTTGGCAGTGATCCGCGAAATGTTTCTATAGACAAGGGAAATCAGTGTATTGCCGATAGCGCACAATGCATTCATATGTGACAATGGCTTCAACAAATAGCTTGATTGAAAACAGTTACTACACCAGGAATAAAGTCAACAACCGCCTACTCTACAATTCAAAATGATAAAGTGTTATCATGATTTTATTCTGTATCAATTTTCCGTTAAAATAAAATTGTTGTTATTTACAAAGTGTCATACTCATACTGAAATACAGCAACGAAGGTTTTCAGACGGCCATGTATATCGCGTCTGGGTGTAGCGTCGTCACACGGACATTGTAAATGACAAGCAAGGAAACTACGAAATGTTCTTAAGCGTCCGAAAACTAATAACACGTCGATATATAATGCCATGTTGAAATCTCACAGTGGATTTCGACTCTTGATTAGTAACAAGTGACTGGAAACTTATGTCCAGGTGTGACAAGGTGAATGAGGATTCAAATTTATGTCCAGGTGTGACAAGGTGAATGAGGATTCAAACTTATGTCCAGGCATGACAAGGTGAATGAGGATTCAAACTTATGTCCAGGCATGACAAGGTGAATGAGGATTCAAACTTATGTCCAGGTATGACAAGGTGAATGAGGATTCAAACTTATGTCCAGGTATGACAAGGTGAAAGAGGATTCAAATTTATGTCCAGGTGTGACAAGGTGAATGAGGATTCAAATTTATGTCCAGGTGTGACAAGGTGAATGAGGATTCAAATTTATGTCCAGGTGTGACAAGGTGAATGAGGATTCAAACTTATGTCCAGGTATGACAAGGTGAATGAGGATTCAAACTTATATCCAGGTGTGACAAGGTGAATGAGGATTCAAACTTATGTCCAGGTATGACAAGGTGAATGAGGATTCAACTTTATGTCCAGGTATGACAAGGTGAATGAGGATTCAAACTTATGTCCAGGTATGACAAGGTGAATGAGGATTCAAACTTATGTCCTTGTATGACAAGGTGAATGAGGATTCAAACTTATATCCAGGTGTGACAAGGTGAATGAGGATTCAAACTTATGTCCAGGTATGACAAGGTGAATGAGGATTCAAACTTATGTCCAGGTATGACAAGGTGAATGAGGATTCAAACTTATGTCCAGGTATGACAAGGTGAATGAGGATTCAAACTTATGTCCAGGTATGACAAGGTGAATGAGGATTCAAACTTATGTCCAGGTATGACAAGGTGAATGAGGATTCAAACTTATGTCCAGGTATGACAAGGTGAATGAGGATTCAAACTTATGTCCAGGCATGACAAGGTGAATGAGGATTCAAACTTATGTCCAGGTATGACAAGGTGAATGAGGATTCAAACTTATGTCCAGGTATGACAAGGTGAATGAGGATTCAAACTTATGTCCAGGTATGACAAGGTGAATGAGGATTCAAACTTATGTCCAGGTATGACAAGGTGAATGAGGATTCAAACTCAGACAACATTATTGTACTGTTGCCATCAGGCCTCACTACCACATAACAATTTCTTTGTCTTCTGTCAGTTTACAGAACATTTTTTCCCAAATTCTACTATGAGTTTTCATAGTGTGTCAGTATATATAACATCTACAATATTGCATTAGACCAGTTTTATCTCTTTAAAGTACAATACATACTTACTGTAGCAGCTAAAATGTTCATTGTTTATAACAAGATCTGTTTAATTGGATATATTAATCCTAATATATTATGCAGGTCAGTATTATTCTGTATATGAATGTATTTCAGGCCAAAGGCCTATATATTGAATAAAACTGTCTGTCTGTCTGTTTGTATTGTAACAGTTCGTTGGAAAATGTATCCGTCGTCCCTGTCCACTGCTTCGTCTCGGGGATGGCAGGACCGACAACCATCTGGAGGGACATACCGCGGTATTGTACCAATGCTTTAGCTGGTAATGGTGGTATCCTACACGTTTATAAAAAATGAGGTCATATGTATACATTTAAAATTCAGTAGGCTGGGATATATGAAATATACAATCGGTTGTGTCTTACCTTTTTCAAAATGTATACATCTAGGTTTTTTAGGTACTAATATATCTACATAAAAAAGGAGACAGTTCATAGAATTTTAAACATGCAATATTGTTTGCCATGCAGTATTGATACGTGTGATACGACAACGTTGCATACAATGTATCAACCTTTCAATGGCATTGTACTACAATAAACCTACATGTATGTGCTTGCTGTTGCTCGGCCATTGTGTAGAAATAGCAGGTAACAGTCTAGACTGACAGTATGTGGTCCACTATTACACATGCCTCCCTTATGAAGCATTCTATAATACATAATATAGCGTATAACATTATGAGCAAATGTGCCAGGTAACAAAATGTTGTATTTGATGACACCAACACAGACAAACGTCATGTTACTATGTTTAGTACCAGAAAGACGCGCCTATATCGGGAAACCCGCAAACCCTTACATAACATAGCATGTCAGTCATGTCATGAGATGTGATCCGAACGTGGAACACTTACCTATGTACTGCAAGGAAATCAACTACAGGTAGCTCGTTTAAAGAGGTCTTTCTGCCATACCTGTCCTGCACATTCAACAGGCTATGAATAAGTCGCCCACTCAGTGGGTAAAGCGAAAGCGAAAATGCATGAGTGTGTACAGCATGGAGGCTGGCCTCACAGTGGGACAATAGGGACTGCTGGTTACGAGGGTTTTGAAACCAGATTAAAAGTGTCAATGCGTATTTTCAATTTAGGGCGTATCCGTGTTCGTTTATGTATGCTGGTGAAACGAATGTATCAACAATTGACAAAAATAATATTGATAATCACAAAACAAATGGTGTCAGTATTGTTTGAGTCTTTTGAGACGTTACATCCAAACCACAATATGTCTTAGGTAACCTGACAAAGATTTTGAATATGACTTAGCATACTATTTTTAAATGCCCGTGAGGTCATTTTCCAGGTATTAGAAACATACGCACCGTGTCCGTATACAGGAAGTGTATTCCGTTCTACAGATTAGAAGGCTTTGATATCAGCTGGCCGCATGGTAAAACCTCAAAGAGATGCGCTCCAGAAACTAAACTAAACGAAATGTCCAGATCACGCTAACCGAGTTACCTTTTTTGAATAATTTAGATTGAATCTATGCCGTTTAGCGAGTCATATTGTGCACACTGCCTGGCTAATGTACGGCGGATCAATGGACGGCCCTGACGTCACTTCTAACCCCGTGAACATAGTGTACGATTCAGGGGTCTTTCTTCTCCATATAATGGGATTTAATCTGTCTCTAAACAGGAAATAGTTTCTGAAGGACAAGCGTTATGGACACTTGGTACATTCTAAGTCAATCCTGGCAGGTAAATGTACAACATACCTGGATCTATTACTACGTTTGTTTTTTACCCCTAGGAGGACAAATGTGTGCAACTATGTTATGCATCGCTGAAAAATGTGTGTGGCCTAACTGTGTGTAAATCGAATCTTCACAATGGCGTTATAATGTCGGTGAATAACTGCTGCTGCTGTTTGGACATGAGGAGTAGGTGACGTTTCAGAAACACAATTTCATTCCAGTTGAATAAACTAAAAACCTTGAATGGATCAAAGTATAGCACCAAAAATCGAGCGTTTGGAATCCTTTGATCTTAATTTCTGTTTACTTTCATTGTTGGAAGGAACCATACCCAGAATGCACCGAGTCCTTTGGTTGAATGTGTACAGTTTCCTGCCCTGTCAGAGAATGTAACCCATCTAAATAACTAATGAAATACTACAACGACAAGCGTCTAGTGGTAAACATAACGCATTGACTGCATTTAAAACTTATAGTTTACTTATAAAGATAATATCAATGACAATAAGCAATGAACAATTTCTCATTTCGTAACGCTGATTTAAAACATTTTGTTTTAAAGCACACAGCCTCTGTTTTGGTTTCAATTAACTTATTTGGTAGTGATTATAGTGTACTAACACTATATGAATGTCCGCCTTTAGGATTAAAACATAACATTTACGCTGTGCCAAGACATATACTAGTAACAATACATGTTTTGAAAATGAAATGGTTTATTTGATTATTTTACAGTATATTTAATATTCATACATTAATCAATCAATCTTTATTCGCGAGGGAGTGGGCAATCGACACATATACAGTATATGGTCCACCGGACCCGTGAAGATCCGGGGTAGAATAGGTCTTCAGCAACCAATGCTTCCGTAAAAGGATCGATGCTCATGATGTCGATCACTGGATTGTCTGGCCCAGACTCGATTATTTACAGACCGCCGTCATGTAGCTGGAATATTGCTGAGTGCGGCGTCAAACAACAAACAAACAAACAAAATATGGCCCACCGCAACATCCATAGTTCAGTAGCTAGCACAATAACTTTGCATATTGCCTAAAGGACATACATGCTGATATTATGAATACTATTTCTTGCTTACTTGACATTAACTTATCACATTGGATCATACTGATTTCATTTTAAAACCCAACTAACTGTTAAAACCCCGTAAGTGCATACTTAAGAACCACTAGAAATTGTACAATGTTAGTCTTGCTCATATTAAATCCGTAGCATGAATTCAAGGGGGAAAATTGAACACTTTCTTCATCTTGAGTATTCCACGATTGGTAAAAGTGCAACTTCAAATTTCATTTGCAATTTTGTAACCCAGGTAATTATACCCCTTTCAGATCCATGTAATAATTCATTAAAATGTCCGCACACCGAGTGGTAACATTTAAGACTAATATTTAACACACCGTTAAATGCCAAAATATATCGTGGGTGTCTCCCAAGGTTTATTCAGACCACATGGAGTTGATATAGTTTCACCCCCTAAAAATCTTTACAAGCATAACCATGAACTGTCTCGATGTCTTCGTTCATATATCAGATATCAGAATACCCCACTAGTTTAAGAGAGGTGCCTACTACTGATGGCAAATTCTGTTTGTAATTGTCCCGAATAAAGATACTTCCGGGTCAGTGAAACAGGGCTATGTTTATGTATATTTGAATTGATGTAAGTGTTCCCACCAGTAATTGACTGCTTATCAGAAGAGTGAAACTAATAAAATCCTTTGGTTCACATTGTGGATGTATATATAGTACCTCATGTGACCTTGGTCATATATCAGCGAAAGGTTAATCAGCGAACCACATAAGAGTATGCTAAGACTCACGATGTCGTGGTGATAATATTATTTACTCATGATTCTAAAGATTGCTTTGGGGGAGTGTTGTGTCGTCAATTTAAAATCTGATCTGTATACTTTCTTTTGATAAGTCAGTTTATGTGTATGCTAACATACAGTCTATGAAACCATTTATTATACAAGGTCACTACTGAGGCTGCGAGTCGACCCGTTAGAAAAGTCTGCCGATGTGCGCCATAAGATTTACTTTTCTGATCGAAAGTGTAATTTGAATAAGTATTCCAAATCGAAATCAAAACGGGTTTGGGAAACAAGCTGGCGATCCCCCGAAACGAGGTAAATCATTAAGTTAGAGATTTGTAACTAAATGTTTACAAACATTTTATTATTTATAGCCAATCGGAGATGTAGTCCTTTGCAGACCTTTCTAACGGGTCGAACCGCATCCCGTAGTAGTGATGCATAATAAACGATGTAACCCTTAACGCAGCTATTGTCCAGAACTACCTAATGTGACGAGTGCATGAGCTCCAACAGATCCTTATAACCAGTGCTTTGTCCTTTGAGACTTGATTAAGGTCATTCGGGTAACTTTACATGGCCACTACACCAAACAACACTGGCAATCACTCACACAGCTAGGAGAGATGCTTCACAAATTTCCAAAAACATTAACAAACACAATCTTACGCAAGCAATTGAAGAACCATAGCTCCCAACGCAACCACAAAGTTGTCCGAGGCTGGTAACCGTAAAAAAGATGCTATTTCTATGAGGATTACAAAGCTGCCAGACCCGTGAAGTTCCGGGGTAGAATAGGTCTTCAGCAAACCATGCTTTCTGTAAGAGGCGACTATGTTTGTCGTAAGAAGCGACTAACTGGATCGGGTGGTCTGACTCGCTGACTTGGTTGATGCATCTCATCGATCCCAATTGCGTGGATCGATGCTTACGATGCCAATCACATTGTCTCGATTATTTACAGACCGCCGTCATATAGCTGGAATATTGCTGAGTGCGGCGTTAAACAAACAAACAAAAAAACAAAATCAAAGCTGCCATATGACTCTTTGCGTTAAGGTCTTTTTGGTCAGGGTTCGAATAGTCAAGGCCTCAGTAAAGCTCTCAAAACGATTTAGGATACAGATGTAGTATCAATAGTTGACACATCAGTTACAGACACAATGCCCTATTTTGACTTGTACCATATGTTCCCGCGTTTGTTCGAGTGAGCGCTTGTTTTTGCATGTGTTTGTTACGAGTCCCACCGGTGGAGCAGGATACACTCACCCTTTCACGAACACCTGGCATCATCAATATTTGTTAATGATTTATAAGTACATGCTAATGATACAGTGGGAATCGTAAAACGAACTCTGCTTTCAGCAAAGAGATTTTACGATTACTGAAAGGATTTTGTCGCTTTTATTTATGTGAGAAGAACGAAAGTGTTTCAATATGTGACCACGTCGTGCGCGACACGTGACTTGTGTCATCTGGAGAGCTGGCGACTGTTGGCACGTTCTGTACGTGACTTCCTGAACACTACATTTAGCGAGCACGTTCTGCCATTGAGCATCTCTGGCATGCCCCACACCCTCAGATGATCGAGAGGTGATTCAGGCTCTGAACGAATGGCGACTCATCCTGCGTGACATCATTAAGACACTGACGACCTCTATGCGAGTGCTTACAACGAGCTACGGACAGGTCATACATGTTGTAAGGGACACTCAAGAAGTGATTTTCATTACAACAGCGTCTGTATGAACAACTGACATGTGGACCCCTATAGCCATTTGTTCGCCCTGACATCATGGCCAAGCCCTAATGAAGATGTTGCCTGTTACTGAATATCTATTTTAGGACTAGATTCTAGGATCAACATTAGCATATAACCTGGATGTCAAACTAATGCTTATCCGAGAAATGCTCTTTCTGTTTAATCAATTCTGACGTCCTCAAAACGACAAGGAATAAAAAATATCTCTAATATATTAACGATATTCAGTAAAAGAAATAAGGAGCAGACCATTGTCATTCTGTCATTTTGATTTTGCGAATCAGCGTGCCTAGCTGTAAAACCCTTAGCTCCCTGTAGAGTACCCATGGTAGATACAAGGCTCAGTGTGACATTGTCAGAGAGATGGGACTGTGCCACATAGGGAAGGCTGAGGGACGAGTCCTGGGAGTCTGTGATGGTCACATCTCACTGGATGTCTTTGTTCGTTCGTTCGTTCTTTCGTTCGTTCGTTCGCTTGTCACTCAGAAATATCCTAACTTATCGAGTGTAGACCAGATGGGCCAAGGATTGATATTATGAGCAGCCATCCACTCCGTCGAGTACGATGACACGTTGTCAACCGAATCTCTGAGCCTTATCACCGATTCAATGAGTCGTCTTTAGACTACGCTTTGTCTTTGATGGAATCAAATAACTCCAATTTGGATTGAAAAGGAGCGAGATGCGAGATTTCGAACCTGAAAAAAATCCAGACTTGCTTCATTTTGGGCTTTTGCATTACAGAAAGAGCTATAGGCGGAAGGGAATATAATGGCTCAGGGATTGTGAGACAGGCGAAGTATCCTCGTAATGTCATGCTGATATGAATAGTCTCCTGAATGCTGCTGATATAACAGGAGAAGAAGTATCATCAGCTATGCATAATTTAAATTGGGTAAATCGGCAGGACAGAATGGAATTTTTCCTGAAACGGTGACATGTTGCAGCACTTTAATCATACCATACTAAAACTATAGTTTTAATAGGATTATGCACAACGGTGTATTTCCCTACGAGTGGGCAAAGGATATAATATACTAACCTCCAAAAGAAACGTCACCGTGGATAGATATATGGGAAACTTAGTTGTCCAAACACTGTAAACATACTTTGAGGCATATTAAAAAGATGAAACTTGGCAAATCTTATCATAAAGGTTAAAATTAAAGTGACAAATGTTCTTAAAGTGAAACACAACACTAGTCGCTGAGAAAATGGCATCACAAGTCAGTATCTCGTGTGTCCTCCATGTACATTGATG